TTTTTCCTTCTTTCAAAGAAAATTTTGTCAGTAAAAAATACTATTTAGAATCAATCATTATATTTTGTTCCTTTATTTATTTAAATAATCAACTTAAGATGCTTATTTCATACTTTCAGAAAGCCCAGTACTGGCCGAGTGGTATGATCGCTGAGTACTGGTAAATCCTACGGGGTTTTCACAAGTGCACCTATGAATTATGAGACTCTTTCCCTTAAAAAAACATCTCCCACGAAGACTTCCCTTAGGCAGACAGGCCCTGTGTGCTTTACTGTAACACAAAATTTTAAGCTTAGAAACCGTTAGCATAACCTTTATAATCTAAAAGCTTAGAACCATCTATCGTAGCCAAAATGAGTTGGCAGCACCAAGTAGAAAGGTAAAATTTAATTTTCTTAGCATATATTTTTCTCAGAGATTACAAGTAACGTTTTTGAAGTTATGAGAATCGTGCATAAGTGCATGCATTTTCAAATCAGATTATTTACATAATATTTATGGATAAACTAAATAAGCACACATTTGCATATATAAAATATAGATTAATAAATACAAAAAGCGAAATATAATTTGAAAATAATGCAATTTAGGAACTACTACATCAAAAAATAATTAAAAATTTCTTGTAGTCTCATTGTTTTTTGTTATATGTTTTCTTCTGATATATGTTTAGTTTTTTATTTTATTTTGTTATATGCATTTATTTGGTTTTATTTTGTTATATGCATTTATTTGGTTTTATTTTGTTATATGCATTTATTAGCCATTTTTTTTTTGAGAAATTTTGTTAGATTATTTGCATATGGCAAAGCAAACGAGATTACCTTCCTAAAGAAAAGAACACCCCCATAAAGACTTTTTATGTAAAAGTGACTCATATTCACATTACAGTTGGGGGATCAGAAAAAATAGCCATGCAGCTAGTTTATTCATTTGGTTTGAATGCGAGTTGAACTAGCAGTAATCAGCGGTCATAGCCAAGAACCCATTGGAGAGGTTTGACAGACATGAAAAACTGAGAAGCAGTATTTAGTAAATATAACACTAATAAACAAATCAGATTTATATAAAAACAAAATAAAATGCTTATATCTGACACAACTCAATCTTGATATAACACATAATTACACTGATAAAGTAAAAATGTAATAACACTAATAAATTCAAATACCAAACGGAACAAACATTAATTCTACGTAGCGAAACATTTTTAACATATTTTGCTGGGAATGTCTGGTGTCTGGCTGCAAAATTATTATATTATATATCCTTATTTTAAATTCATCACATATCTGATGTTTTGACTTTTACCTCAAAACAAATTTCAATAACATTAATAATTTTATTTCCCTAGTGGAAATTCTCTGGATCTTTTCAGTTTCAAGAAAATATGCTCCAAACAATTTTCTCTAAACAAATACATGCACATATTTGAAACTTCCAGTAAAAAAATGCACTTTTGATGGCAACTCACTTTGATGATGGTAAAATTTTTCTAAACATAAGAAATTTGGCATTTAATTTTTTTCATTAAAAAAATGAAATAAAATGCCTCATTATTAAAAATATTTTATTGATGATTTATATTCTAAAAGCAAAAACATTGTTATAAAAGGGAGAAGGTAACATTTCATTTAATGGGGCCAACATTAGCACATTCACTTATCAACAAAAAATATTTGAAGCATGTTATGTGATAATGGTTTGGTTTATCTAATTGTTGCAAAACATTCAAGAGCTATTTACCTAAGGGGAAGGTAGCTTTCGAGGACTTCCTAAGGGGAACTGACTTGTATACATACAAAAGCATTCATATAGCCAGCCCATTAGCCAGGATCCGAGCCCTTGACCAAACTACCAATATTCTGCTACGACTTTTCTGCTCGGCTCCTGATGGGCTGTCTGATAACTGACAAGATTGAAATTTAGTAATAGATGAAAACTAATACCTTCGAATAATATGAAATTATTGCCAATTCAGTAGCATAAAATAACTTTCATGATATTGTTTATTTATTTTATTTGGCTTATGACAAAGTATGTGAGGACTATCTCTTAATATACTGGTACTTGGATTCAAACCCCAGTGAACAGGCTCACTGCATATGCGATTTTGTGGTTTTAATTATATGTAACATGAGTACGAGAGATCTCCCTTAGTAAGACTTTCATGAAAGCATATTTTCACTTAGGCAGATCACATTTGCATGCTTTGTGATAATCTAACAAACCAAACCCAATTCCAAGTGAGGACTCATAGTCAAGGCATGTCTTCATAAAGAACTTTTCAAATGAAACTGGTTCTTATTCTCATTAAACATGGGCAGAAAAAAATAAATGAAAACTGCCATGCAGCCAGCCTATGTGCCAAACTATCAGTATTCAATGATTTTACTAAAAGGTCACTGGTGGTCTTTTGTAGTATCTACATCAAAAATCTTTCCAAAGCAATAATGAATCAATCATATTTCTTTGATTGATGTATCAATGCATTAAATAATATGTATCAATACATGTACAATGTTATGTATCAATGCATTAAGTAAGTTCAGAACTTAAAGAAACTCTTTTATTTATGTTACTGCTATCAGCACTGACATTTGAAGGGATGTTAATTTATTTTCTCACAACAAAATGTTTTTGACTGTAATTTTTTGAGAGTGCAGAATATCTAATCTTTCCATACAATATTGTTGTGTGTACGGGTTGATAATAAACTGAATGCACAAGTCCAATGAAACGTGGATACAATTTATTATTATCACAACAAAGAAAACAAAATGATTAAATTTCCTCAGATATTTGTACAATATTGCAATATCTCACAGTAGTTGTATTTTAAACTACTAAAACGTTTAACAGAACTTAATTTAAAACAGAGAAAACTAATGCGATTTCACCGCGAATTCATTACAGTAAACAACAACAGTTTTCTAGAACACTGAATTGAGTAGTTCTCCTCTAGCTTTTATAAGCTCTTTAAATCCTGCATGAGAAACTTTTCACACTTTCTCGATTCTCCTAGATATAATTAATTCTACTTTAAAATATCTAAATAAATACAAACACCGTAACAATATTTTTCTTAACTTGCACTCCGTTACTTTTCAGAGATTTTAAAACAACAGATTTCTCTTCAAAAAAAGTTTCAAAAAGCGGATTTTTTTTATGGATTTTAAAACTGTGTCGTATTTCAAATCTTAATAATAAAATATTTCTATAAATTGTTTTGGCACATTGGTTTATTCGATTTAACAGAAGTTTTCAAGTAGAAAGTCTTCTCTTTGACATTCAAATTTTTATGTGTAAGTTTGCATTTACAGTGTACATAAGAGTACAAAACTCATTTACCTACTAAGTACTTCTGGCATGTAGTTTGTACACATAAGAGTACAAACTACATGCTGAAAGCACAGTTGTAAAATTTCAAAATGCAACAAAGAAAGATATACCATTAAAAATAACCGCACTTGAAATATGAGGGCAAACAAAAGAGCTAGTTGGAATATTTTATATTTTTTCCTGCTCTTGACAAATCAGAAATCATAATAAACTTTTAAACCACACATATAAAAAAAAGAGGATAGTATATGATTTATTACAAAGTACGTCTTCTGTTACAATTGTGATTTTTTTCCTGTTTCTCCTAAAATTCAGGAATGTACTAAGATAACGAGCAACTCTATTTGACATTCTTTAGTATAAAGTACCAAAAGGCAAACTGTTGCAAAATGATTTATCTCCATTCACAGGCTTGCAGTGATGTCTGCCAATGATAATTGACTTGTAGGACTCTTCTGTAAAGTGCACTTTTCAAACAGACTTCATGTCCTATCAAGAGTTTTGTGTCAACTCAGAGCCACCTGCAGAAACATACGGAAAAGAAGACCACAGTTTTTGCCTAAACACGTCTTAAGCATTATTGGCCAAGTTTGGGCTTTGTGTATACGTCTTAAACATTTTTTGAGAGTTTTCAAATTTGTGTAAACACATCTAAAGCATTTTTAAAGGAAACTCTGAAAATGTTTACACATGTCTTGTGCGGTTGAAGGGTTAAGGGACAAAGAAAGAAAAAAAACCTTCAATTACTTCTCAGTGTCAGGGCAAATACCATAAGGTGTGGTTTTTAGAACCATTGCACATAATAATTTGCATTTCAATTCACACTTCCTATAAGCTTCAGAAATGTTTCTACACAATAATCTGGTTAATAAAGCTTCAGGAATGTTTCTGCACAATAATCTGGTTAATAATGCAGCATCTACCCCATTCCTACCGAAGTTGAAAAAATACCTGTTCAGAACCCAACTCTTCCCTCTCAAAATCATGCATATAGACTTGCATGTGAAAAGCACTACAACTTCTGCTGTGTTTATAGCAACAACAATATGTTGACAATCTTGGACTAGTTCCAACAAAATTGCAGTCAACAGTTGGTTTGGTTTAGTTAATTATGGTAAAGCACATTAGGGCTTTCTGCATAAGGGAAAGGATGCTTTTGTGGAAGACTCCTTAGGGGAATCTGGCTCATACACACGTTACACATGCGGAAACCATGAAAATGCATCATGCAGCCAGCCCATTCATGTTCAACTGACCCAGGTTGGAACTATCAGTGTTCAGAGATTTTGCTGCTTGGCCACTGGTGGGCCCTGCAGTCAGCAATATTTTCAGCATTATTTGTGTTAGCTTTATCTTGAACTACTTTCTTGTCATTTTAAACTAAACTATTACTTTCCTCATGCAATTTATCTTTTTATTTATCAAAATTATTGGAAAAACTATAACTATCAACTCTCAAGTAACTTTTTTAAGTCATTCTGAGCAGTGTTGAAAAGCTACGGCACTGTATATATGTTTACCCAATTAAAAAAAAAACACACTACCTTTTCATTTATTCATTTAATTCCATATGCTTGCTCTCTGTCGGTGTTACAATGAAATTCTGACCTTTATGCATAATATACAATGGAAGAAGGTACATAACAAACATTTCATAAGCAACTGTTAAGATTTTCATAATAATGATGCTCACACTGTAATTTCTAGTTATAAAGAATGGTGTGACTAAAATACCTAGCATGCCTTTAAAAAAATGATTTTTGAAAGCATATAAAGTTTACAACAGCTGAAAAGTGATTTTCTAGATCACAGTAGTTTTCAGTTCCGTTGTTTAACATTAATAACATAAAATAACAAAAATTGCCAACACTTCACATAAATAATAGAGCAAAATTTCTATAACAAACTAAAGTTACCTGAGAACTGTTTTCCTGGGAGTGGTGGAATAGGAATAAGTGCATATTTTGTCTCCAACCGCTCGTGAAGCCAATCAAAGTGCTTGAAACGGCGACTGACTTCAATATTTGAGAACTAAATTTAAAAAATGGCATCAGATAAATTTTTACAGCCAAAGTAACTTATGCTTTATTCACAAAACAATAAATATGACTGATTTTGACTTTTATGTAACCAAAGGTATAATTTACTTTTGGACAGTACTTTTTTCATTCAGCCTGTCTCCCTCAGACAAAAAAGTCCCAAATTAAAAATGCTCCCCCTTCTTAAATGTCGTTCTTATGGAAGGAATCCCACATAATGGATTTTCATCAGTTTTTTAGTATAAACTTGCAGTACTCCACGATTAATCCATAAAACACTGCTGACCAATTTCAATTAAAGAACCTCCTCTCCCAATGCTTCTATTGGCAATATTGTCTCTCTATCACTAAATCTCTAAATGCCAATATAGTTGTCTTATAGCTGTCACTTCAGCAAGTTTTATCATTTATTTCATTTCTGGAGAATCATGGTTGAGGAAAGAGAAAGTTTACTATTGGTCTTCTCCGTTTTGTAACAGCTGCACGCATTCTCGATTGTTTACATCTTACTTTTAATTATCTTTTTTCTTGGTATTACTCTATTTGCAGCACACTCAATTTTGTTGTCCCCTTTTTGCTGAGGAGCTGGCAATTTAAAAAATGCTCTTACACTAAAATCAAAAACGTGAAATCTCATTTTACAGGATTTTAATTTTCAAAAATGGTTCCTCATAAATTTAAAAATTAAAGTTTTATATTAAAATATTTGCTAGAAAATATAAAAAAATGCAGAATGAAATACATAATGAAGGTCCAATTTCACAACTTAGACATAGTAACCTAAAGCAAAAATCAAAAAATATATTGTTCGCTAAGATGCTCACATAAAACATGAACAGATTTTTTTAAAGCATTCCCATGATAAATGAGTTACTGTGCGGCAACAGAAAAATGATTTGTGTTGAATTAATAAAAGATATATGTTATTTTATTAATTCTAAGGTGATTATTAGTGTTTGAAAAGTGTTTATCATTTTCATCTTTTTATATTTTTTAAACTTGTGATGCTGAAACAGAAGTGCAGTATAAAAGTTTCTTATCATTAATGGTGTAAATGTATATATGGAATGCATTACATGCAACTCTGAAATTTCATTTCACATAGTGGGCAGCCAGATGAAGTCAACAACATAAAAATCAGAAACCATAAATATGTGATTTATTGGAAATATTAAGTCAACAAGAATCAGCAAAATTTTCATTGTTGCCTTAGCATCTTCAACAATTATTATTTGGCTTGTTATTTTAACACAGGCGTGTCGTTCAACTTCCAACAGCAGTATTAGAAATTTGTTAAATGCAAAAATCACAGTGAATTGGAAAAACGATTATCATTAGCAATAATGAAAGAAAGTTTTGTTTATCATAGGGTGGTACATGCAGCAAGTCTGCACAACAGCCATCATTTAAAAAATAAAAATCACAGCTACATTCAGATGCCTGTTTTGCTGTGTATGTCATTTGGAGAATTTTAAGCCTTCGATGGTTGCAAGATTACACATCTTTTTCTATGTCACTCATCAATACATACTGTGATATCTGTCACTCATCAATTTGTAATATGAGCTGTGTTTGTTTGCAGCCATTGCAGTATGTAACTGGAATGCCAGGTGAGTTTGTTTGGTTAAGCATTAAGAGTGCTTGCTTGGTGAGTGCTTTGTCCTTTTTTTATTCAGTCCTAGAGTAGCTGAAAATTTTTTACGAATGAGTCCAGTGGCTGATTTGTTTCAGAATTTATATGGTATATATGCAATCTTGAATCAATGAAGTTTAATTTATAACAGTGCATAGCAGCATACATAAACTGATGATAAAACAATTCCCATGTATGAAAATAACGTGTTTTAAGAGCAAAACTTACCTTCAGAGCAACTAACAACAACAGATATAAAACAGATCGCAGCACAATAATTACCACTATCATTGCAACAAAGTAAATTTACGACAAAAGAAGTGTTCTTCATAAGGCATCAATACATTCAAACAAGAAATTTAATAAAAATTTGTGTCTCTGGTTACCAGATACCGAGATGCACAGAAGTTAAGGTGTTGGAATCCATTAATTCAAGTAATAAAACAATATTGTTTTCGTGTTATGCTTTGCAAGTGTTGCAGAAATTGAATCTCATAGAAAAGGTAACTACCAAATCAGCAAATCCCAAAACATGCATTCTTTTTGAAGGAAAGAAGAGAAAGAGAAAATATAATTACCATTCCAAAATGCAAGAAAACACTGAACAATTCATTCACTGAAATGGTGCTTCCTCTTGAAATTCCATCCAGAAAACAATTGTTTAAATGTGAACTACAATTAGCTACTTCACAGTTATATGAAAATGAATATGAAAAATATGTGTTTAAAATTATAGTACAGACACAATCAAAACTATTTATTTGTATTTATTAATTACATTATTTCTACAAACATTATTATTAGAAATAAGGATCATATTAACTGTTAGAAAATCCAAAATCCTTGCTAATTTACTTCAAATATTTCTTTCTATTCAAAAGTTGTTTTACTGCTTTTTTAAACAGTTTTAAGTACCTAATTGCAGCTCTTGGAAAATCTGATCATGGCTCTTGAATATTCGTGGATTCTAACATGCAGCTGCTACCATCATGAAGTTTGAGCACTTCTCTTATATAAGAATGGATAATTATAGAAAACTGTGTATTTAATTTTTTTTTTTGTTTACATACAGCTACTTTCTTTTTACAAATAAATTTTCATTGGATATTAATTTAAACACATTTGAGATGCATAATCCAAACTTTAAATCCCTGCAATAATCTCATTCCTCCTTAGATCTTTTCTGCATTCATCTTTTCAGTGATTCCTACTTCTGACGGTGATTATTTATGATTGTGATTGATATTTTGAAATGTTTTCAAAGAAAAATATTTTAAATATTTTCATAGTACTTCTGTATGTCTCCAAAATGGCAACACCAAGCAAATAATCATCACTGAATGCAACATAAAACTGAAATTCTCAGGTGCTCACTCTCTTCAATGTTTGCAGTATTGGCAGCAATGGTCAGATTTTCCCTTTCAATTCAAATTTATTTATCTAAGATAGCTTGAACTAACTTTGCCTCTAGAATTAGTGTCACTTTGCCAATTGCAGGAAGAAGTTTCAGATTGTACTGTAATTTCAAGTAGATAAGCCACTCTGGGTATACGCCACACACAATGAATAAAAATTAAAGTTCTTCCGATAAGCCGCAGGAAAGCATTCCGAAATATAGCACTTAATGTTTATTTATTCAGTTCTCTGCCATATTGATGTAATCATCATCTATAACCTTTTATAACATTTACAACATAAATATAATCAGTAATATCTAAATAAATAAGGAAGAAACAATTTACCTTGAACTTGCCGAAAATGAACCCTGATGATTTCTAATAGATATTATTTTTACGGGTTCAGAAAACTTCGTTTATCACCATAAATTACCAGTTTATGAAAAGAATACATAGATTAAACAGAATTTTTAATTAAACTACAAAACCTTCAGAATTAGACACATCAATACCAGAATTAAATAAATTTAACAACTGACCATCAAGGTCAATTCCATCATTCTGTTCTAAATCCCTTCTTTCAATATCGCTATCTTCATGATTGCCATGCTTTATCGACCCATAAGGCACCCTCCTCATGTGAAGCTTTTCTCATTCGTCCAGAATTTGTGAAGGAATGGAGTCCGCTTTGCATCCATTCTCCCCAATGCTTTCGTAGTTCATAATTGAAAATTCTACTGATAGTGAGATCCAGCGACTGTAAAATTTTTTTAAGCCCACCTGGTATCACTGAGACATCAGTGCTATTCTGTTTTTTTTTTTTTTTTTTTTTTTCCTTCGGATCTTACAGTATCTGCTAAATGGGATCTCGTTGAGTCCAGAATGATGAGTCTTCGGGATTGGAGATAAGAAACTTTCCTTTTTCGATAAATTTCTCTCAGCCAAAACAACATCACTTCTTCGCACATCCATCCCTTTTTATTGGTACAAATAATAACTCCTTTAGGGAAGTTTCCTTTTAGAGTTGTTTTTCTTTTGAAAGTTATCAAAGGGGGTTAACATCTGTCCATTGGCGACACAACTCAAAACATGAGTAAAAGAACTCTTTTTCATTCCCAGTAAACACATATAAGCAGTGGCTTATCTACTCAAAATTACGGTTATTAAATTTCAAATTTGAATATTTTTCAATATTTAAAAGCATTCATAGCTATTAATTAGTCTTTTTTTTTTCTAATAGTCATATGACACAGTTTCAAATTCACCTAACACAACACAATCAACTATAAACACTGTTAACAAAACAGACTGAAATAGTATAGGCCAAAATATAAAAAGTGGGGGACTAATCACATCATTATATTTATTCATCAATACACAGTAGAAAAATGTGGATGATTGTAAAGCAACCTGGCTCTCTTTTCATCCAGAAAATTACTGACATTTTCCCTGCATTAAAGTCTCATTTTTTTTCCGCTGCTGATACATGCCTCATCGGTTAAAAGAATTTCTCAGATAGTCCTTCTTCAACAACATTATTAAATTATCTTGCCAGCCACTAAAATCTTTTATTTTTTTTAATACCATCAAACATACTGAAAGTGAACAGATAAACTAAAATGAAAGATGAAGTAACAACTACAGCGAAAGTTCGAACTGCGGGATAGCTGAAAAGTTTCTTGCAATTAATGCGAGAACTCATAAGTAAAAATTAGAAAAGAAAACATAAAAGATAGTAAGTTCAAAGTTATGTTCCTGTGTCATTTTTCAATATTCAAGTAAATTTACAATTGCATATTCATCGAAAAATTTTTAATTGAAAGAACTGGTTTCTGAATGTGTACATAAACTGTAAAACAAAATAATTATATGACTTGCTTGAAGTTGAAGCAAGGACTTTGGAGAACGTTCCTGAAAGAGATGAGTTTCGAATGAATGCTTGCTTTTTCAGAGTTGTATAAG